GTGGGAGTAGGCGTGTGTGGTGCAGGTGGGCGTGGTGTGCAGGTGGTGTGTGTGGTGCTGGGGTGGGTGTGTGTGGTTTGGTGGATTGGTGGTGTGTGGTGCAGGTTGGTGTGTTATTGTTGGTGCAGATGGTTGGTGTGTGTGGTGCAGGTGGGTGTGTAGGTGGGGTGGGCGTGTGTGGTGGATGGTTGGCTGTGGTGTGTGCAGAGTGGGTGTGTGGGTCTGGGTGTGTGTGCAGGTGGGTTGTGTGTGTGGGTGCAGGGTGGTTGTGTGTGGGTTGGTTGTTGTTGTGAGGGTGGGCGTGTGTGTGTGGTGCAGGGTGGGTGTGGTGTGCAGGGGTGGGTGTGTGTGGTCAGTGGGTGTGTGTGGTGCAAGTGGGTGTGTGCATGTGGGTGGGTGTGTTGGTGCAGGTGGGTGTGTGTGGGTGGTGTGTGTGTACAGGTGTGTGTGGTGCAGGTGGGTGTGTGTGCAGGTGGGTGTGTGTGTGCAGGTGGTGTGTGGTGCAGGTGGGCAGTGTGTGGGTGGGTGGTGTGTGTGGTGCAGGTGGGTGTGTTGTTGTGGGTGCGTGGTGTGTGGGAGAGGGTGGGTGGAGGTGGTCAGGTGGGTGTGTGTGGTGCAAGTGGTGTGTGTGGTGAGTGGGTGTGTGTGGTGCAGGTGTGTGTGTGTGGTGGATGTGGGTGTGTGATGCAGATGGTGTGTGTGTGGTGCAGTGAGTTGGTTTTTAATTGGTGTTTGGTGCAGAGTGGTTATTATTGTGTGCAGAGTGGAGTGGTGTGTTCGGTGGGTGTGTGTGGTGCAGATGGGTGTGTGTGGTGCAGGTGGTTGTGTGTGGGTGAAGGTGGGTGTGTGTGTGGTGCAGAGTGGGTGTGTGTGTACAGGTGGGTGTGTGTGGTGCAGTGGGTGTGTGTGTGGTGCAGAGTGGTTGTGTGTGTGGTGAGGTGTGGTGTGTGTGGGTCAGGTGGTGTGTGTGGTGCAGGTGAGTGTGTGTGGTGCAGGTGGGTGGATGTATGTGGGTTGTGTGGTGCAGGTGGGTTGTTGTGTGGGTGGAAGGTGGGTTGTTAGTGGTGCAGGTGGTGGTGTGTGGTTCAGGTAGGGGTTGTGTGGTGCAGGTGGGTGTGTATGTGTGTGGTGCAGAGTGGTTGTGTGTGTGTGGTGCAGATGGGTGTGGTTGGGTGCAGGTGGGTGTGTGGTGCAGGTGGGCGTGGTGTTGGTGCGAGGTGGGGTGTTGGGTATTGGTGGTGTGTGTGGTGCAGGTGGGTGTGTGTGGTGCAGGTGGGAGTGTGTGGTACAGGTGGGTGTGTGTGGTGCAGGTGGTGTGTGTGGTGCAGGTGGGTGTGTGTGGTGCAGGTGGGGTTGTTGTACAGGTGGGTGTGTGTGGTGCAGGTGGTGTGTGGTGCAGGGTGTTGAGTGGTGCGAGGTGGGTGCAGGTGGGTGTGTACAGGTGTGTGTGTGGTGCAGAGTGGGTGTGTGTGGTGCAGGTGGGCGTGTGTGGTGCAGGTGGGGTGTTGGAGTGTGGTGGGTGTGTGGTGCAGGTGGGTGTAGTGTGTGGTCAGGTGGGGAGTGTTGGGTGTGGTGTGTGTGGTGCAGGTGGTGTGTGTGTGTGGTTGCAGGTGGATGTGTAGTGTGGTGTGGTGCATGTGGGTGGGTGTGTGTGTGTGGTCAGGTGAGTGTGGTGTGTTGCAGGTGGTGTGTGTGGTGCAGGGTGGGTGTGTGTGTGGTGCAGGTGGGGTGTGTGTGTTGCAGAGTGGGTGTTTGTGGGTGAGGTGGGTGTGTGTGGGTGTGTGTGGTTCAGGGGTAGTGGTTGTAGGGTGTGTGTGTGTGGAGATGTGGGTGTGTGTGTGTGGTGCAGATTGGTGTGTGTGAGGTGAGTGTGTGTGGTGCAGGTGGTGTGTGGGGGTGGGTGGGTGTGGTATAATTGGGTGTGGTGGTGCAGGGGTGTGTGTGTGTGTGGTGCAGGTGAATGTGTGGGTTCAGGTGGGGTTGTGTGGTGCAGGTGGGTGTGTGTGTGTGGTGCAGGTGGTGTGTGTGGTGCAGGTGGGTTGGGTGTGTGGTAGGGTGGGTGTGTGTGTGGTGCAGAGTGGGTGTGGTGTTGCAGGTGGGTGTGTGGTGCAAGTGGGGTGTGTGTGGTGGGTGGGTGTGTGTTGGTGGTGGTGGGTGTGTGGTTGGGTGTGCGTGTGGGCTGGGTGGTGTTTGTTGGTGCCAGATGGGTGTGTGTGGTGCAGGTGGGTGTGTGTGGTGCAAGTGGGTGTAGTGTGTGTGGTGCAGAGTGGTTGTGTGTGGTTGTAGTGTGTGTGGTGCAGAGTGGTTGTAGTGTGTGTGGTGCAGAGTGGGTGTAGTGTGTGTGGTGGGATTGTTGTAGTGTGTGTGGTGCAGAGTGGGTGTAGTGTGTGGTGCAAGTGGTTGTAGTGTGTGTGGTGGAGAGTGGTTGTAGTGTGTGTGGTGCAGAGTGGTTGTAGTGTGTGTGGTGCAGAGTGGGTGTAGTGTGTGAGTTGCAGAGTGGTTGTAGTGTGTGTGGTGCAGAGTGGGTGTAGTGTGTGTGTTGCAGAGTGGGTGTAGTGTGGTGCAAGTGGGTGTAGTGTGTGTGGTGCAGAGTGGTTGTAGTGTGTGGTGCAGAGTGGGTGTAGTGTGTGTGTTGCAGAGTGGGTGTAGTGTGTGGTGCAGAGTGGGTGTGGTGTGTGGTGCAGAGTGGTTGTAGTGTGTGGTGCAAGTGGTTTGTGAGTGTGTGGTGCAGAGTGGTTGTAGTGTGTGTGGTGCAGAGTGGTTTGGTGTGTGTGGTGCAGAGTGGGTGTGGTGTGTGTGTGGTGCAGAGTGGTTGTGGTGTGTGTGGTGGATGGTGGTTGTAATGTGTGGTGCAGTAAGGTGGTTGTGTGTGGTGCAGAGGGGTTGTAGTGTGGTGGAGGGTGGATGTGGTGTGTGTGTGGTGCAGAGTGGTTGTAATGTGTGTGGTGCAGAGTGGTTGTAGTGTGTGTGGTGCAGAGGGGTTGTAGTGTGTGTGGTGGAGGGTGGATGTAGTGTGTGTTGTAGTGTAGTCTGGTGCTGGAGGTGCCGTGTGGTGAGGAGCTGCTCAGTAGACACGTTCGGTGAGTAGCGTGTTGAAGGAGGTAGATGTGCAGGAGCTTCGTTAGGGAAGATGTTGCCTGTTGCTGGCCTCCTGGTTGAATGAGAACGGGACAGCGAGGAGCTTGCTTGGAGGAGGTGTTGCGTGTTCAGGAACCGAGAGCAGAATAAGAGAGCTGGTTAGTGAGGACGTCAGAGAAGGACAGCTGGTGGGTCACCATGCTCGCCGGCGGGAGCAGGGCCGCTAGGCAGGCGGAGGAAGAAGCGGGGCCGCCAGGCAGCGGAGGGAGAGGTGTTGCGTGTTCAGAAGAGAGCCAGAATGAATCTTAATGGAGAGACGAGCTTATATGCACAGCAGCCGTGAGTCACCCGTGAGTCAAGCGTGGGAAGTCGCCGGTCTTTTGACTCCGTTGCTAGGATACTGTGGCATCTGGTGACGCCCCCCGGCCGCTCGTTTGGTTGCTAGGGAAGACGTAGCAGGTGGCATGCGGCTACGCAGTTGTAGGGGAGACGTCCACTACAGTTTCATTTTCCAAAGATGTGTGCAAATTAGTAACAAACATTCCTGCTGCATTGAAACATCTCTCTGTTTCTATAGTGGTCAAATATAGTTTTACAACTATTCTCAGATTAGTATCTTATACAGTACATAACTGTTTAATCAATACAATTCCCTACCTGTGTTGGATTCCTGCCTTGTGCAAACGTCTCCGCACTGTGTCTGTCCCATATTCAACTGCATCTTGTCTTGAATGGCAACAGCATTGTTGATGGGTTTGTGCTCTCCGAATACTGTACTGTTGTCTTCCTGGGGAGTAGTAACTCGGGAACGAGGTCTCCTGTCTGAAGACATTGGTAAACTGTAGCTTTATACTGTTAATATTATGAGTAGGTCATTATCATAAATAAAATATACAGTAGTTTACAATCATGCAAACCCAATTTTGTCATGTTCCCATCCTCTTCCCATCTTTGTATTCACTTTGCCAGTCTCACGCCCGGTGGACAAAAAATACCTCGGTTTAACTGTAATTGGCTGTCTACAAAACATCATTTTCACTGAATAGTTGAAGAGTTGTTGAAAAACGACAACAACATGTTTCTAACCATAGCTAAATCAGATACCCTAAACTTCCTAAAGTCCTAAACATTATTAATTGGACAGTCGTTAATATCACAGGTGGGAAGATTATTGAATATAATTTGCCGACCAACTTTCGACTATAGGGGAGGCTGAGGTTCCAATGCCATATAAGGATTGCTCTCACTATTTTCTACCCGGTTTTAGCTAGATGCTTTCATTTCCAAATACAAATGGTTCTTTTACAAATACCTTATCATACGTGCTTAAGCAGCGTATTTTATGGATGTCATATATTCATTTTGCAGATTTCAGTGTTTCCCTGTGGGCAAAGTTGAGGGTAGGAGGGCCTGGGAAGGCAGAGACTGGGCTGGATGAAGGAAATTATAAACTTGGTCCCCAGAGATATACAAAACCGTGGTGGATTGGTAAAAACAGCCCGAGAATGTTTTGAGTGGAGTGCCATGGTCGCCAACCCTCAGATACGATAATCTGATTGATTGATTGACTAAGGCTTGTAAACTCTCTTGTTTTAATAAACTGTATTTTGGGGATCTACCGTACAAATGCACCAACAATGAGGAAGGCTCTTCCCTTCAGTTTAATTTTATACCATTTCGATTCTTCAAAAACATCTTTGCCTGCACCCTCCCTTGGCTGGCTCTAATGCCCTGTTTGGCATCAATAGCCATACATGATGTGCTAGCATTAGGTCAAAATAGATGTCCGTCAGTATTAATGAAACTTTATTTTGAACATCAGTTTTCTTTTAAGTTATAATTGTTTATGTTGAGTGATGGTAATATTAATGGTATTTATGTATAACCAATTACTATGCCATAATGTGCATGTCTCTTTATAGGCTCATGAGGTCATGGTAAAGTACAGACTGTACTGTGTAAGCCTTAATGAGATATTACTTTACAACTAGTGCCACTAAGAGAGCTCAGGCTCTCAATTGGCTCAGCCTTGTCAATACATGTATTGTTAATATTAATGACTCTGTATCTGTATTTTTCTGGCTAAATAAACTATCGATATCAACAAAGTTACGGTAAGACAAGTGTAGCTATAAAATCTTCTAAATATAAAGAATACCAGATATAAAATTATTCCTAGTCACAAATTGAGAAACTTGTGATCATTATAAACTTCTATGATAAACTCTACTGACGCAAATCAATGTAGGTAGTATTGCCTGAAGAAAAAAAATCCAACACTGTGTGCAGTAAATTATTCTGTATATCCAGTGCCATTAATATTTTTTAGTTTTCCTGGAAAATTAAGAGATCACATAAAGGTCTCAAGAATCTGTGCACTATTGATACAGGCAAATTAGGCAATATAAATTATCCCAGTTTTATCCCACTAATATCGTAGCATTATGTTCTCTTCAGGTGGAGCCGGTTGAATGGGCGTATGAGAACTTGGAGACAGCAACTAAGGGGCAGCTTTCTTCAATGGCTGACTACCTAGCCAGAAAGGTGGGTTTCTTGAATAATATATATATATATATATATATATATATATATATATATATATATATATATATATATATATATACATATACTATAATATGCATATATATATATATATATATTATATATATACATACATATACATTAATATAGATATATATTATTTATATATATATATATATATATATATATATATATATATATATATATATATATATATATATATATATATATATATATATATATATATATATATATATATATATATACCATATACATACATATACATTAGGGGCAGTGAAATTTTGCTCAAAGGCTGCACTCTTCAATTTCTTATACATAAGACTCCATGCCAAATTTGAAGCTGATATGTCGGTTTAGTCTTCCGCATTTTCTACTGAAATTTTTAAATTTACCTACAGTACTAGCCAAACGCCGCTGTGGCGTGCAATGTTCTGTTCAGTGTTTATCAACTTTTTTTTCATAATTTGACGTCACTCTATTTTGATGGAGCCGCCACTCGTGTGATGATAAAGAATGAAGACCGAGAAATGGAGTTCGAGGATGATGGTGAAAGATCATTATGTCATCATGGTGAGCCTGGCAATGAATATCTCACACATGTGACCCCAAGACTGGACACGGAAAGCAGATTGAACTATTCACGAGTTTCTGGTGGAGAAAAATCTAACCCAGCAGCCCATTGTGTGTGTTGGTTGTGATGGAACCAATGTAAATGTAGGATTAGAAAATGGAGTCATTCATCATCTTGAAATGTTGCTTACCCACTCCATTATTTCATATGTCAGCTTCACGGAAATGAGCTGCCTTTCGCGCAGTTTTTATCACTATGATGGTAAACCAAGTGGTCCTGAGCAATGGCGTGGTCCCATTGGAAAGCAGATCAAGGAGTCTTTGTCTGAGCTTCCAGTTGTCGCCTTCCAGCCAGTCAGTTTCTGATTTCCTGTGTTTAATGATGAAGTGGAGAAAGATCTGTCCTGGGATCAGAAATACCTGTATAGGATTTGTAAAGGAGTTATCACAGGTGTTGTTGAAGATGACTTGGCTGCTATTGAGCCAGGTCCTCCTGTGTGTCAAGGTGGAACACCTTATGGGTAGAATCCTCAGGCTGTATGTAGCAACATCAAGACCCAGCCATGAGTTGAAAAGAATTGTCATTACAATAATAAAGTTCAGTGCTCAATGTGGTTTTACATCAAGATACACATACGTAACACACGCTCAGGAACGTATTCAGTCCCTGCTATATATGAAACACCTGAATAGTGAGGAGAGACGATAGTGAAGAAGGCTGTCCAGAGAAATGCATACTTCGTACACAGATCAACTTCTTCTTGGTATGTGTGCAGATGAGGACATGACTGTTAGAGAAAAAGCTGTCTGAATGATAAGAAAAATTAGAGGAGAATCAGCAAAAGGAAGAATGCACTGGCAGATCTGAAGAGGAGGAGGAAGATTCTGATGCTGCTGTTGACGAAATTTGTTAAACTATACTGATGAGGAGGGTAAAGATGGAGATGGGAATGAGGATGTGCCTCCTGTAGTCAACATGAAAGGTGGTGACTCGAAACTAAAGTGGCAAGCATATCATTCCATGATTAACTGGAGGAATGAACTCAAGACTGAGCCTCCTTACATTGCTTCTCTGTCAAATCTACAGGTTAATTTCTTCAGACACCATTAGTGGTGCCCAAGTAGCAAACAGCACTCAGGCGGTCGAGAGAGGCATAAAAGGATGACTGAAGCTAGTGACGGGATACGAATCGAGAGATGGATATATTAGGCAAAGATTGTCTAGGAAAATGATGCCAAGGTTCGCACAAGAATTTCAATATGAACTTGTAATGATTTTTATACGGTGTACCTGTAAAATAACATGTGAATTAAATCGATGTCACCCATGTAAAATTTATCATTATCCTGGAAAACATTAAATGACACCTAATTTTTGGTATACACTAAAAGTTGACAAAAAGTCGTTCGCGGCAGGGTAAGTATGCATGAAATGGCATGAAATTTTGCACAGGTGTTTGTTACAGCCATACAAACGATGCCTGAAAAGTGCAGCTTTTTTCCCAAGCAATGGGAAATAAGGAATAGCCCAAGTTTGAATGTAAATGGAAGTGTTTATTGTATTCCATGTAGCAAATGTAATTGTAATTATGTAGGTCAGACAGGAAAAACACTGCAGCTCAGAATCAAACAACATAAGTATAATATCAGAACTGCATCTGAAAGCAGTGCCTTGTTCGTTCATGTTAGGAATAATAATCACCCCATTGCTTGGGAAGAAAGCTTAGAAGTATTCAAATCATCTTGTGTCACAGAAAGACTTCTGGTTGAAGCTAGTTTGATTAAGGAATTAAAATCAATAAACCTTAGTGATGGTCAGTTCAAAACTGATAATATGTTATAAATTATTTGTCAGTGGCCCAAGGTTAAAAATGCTTTGAAAACCTTTGATCTTGATGTATGACAGTTATTTTGTGGGTCCCTTTTTCTGACCTGACCTGACTAGTCCGTCACCACCCTTCTCTTAAGCTCCTCTACGGTTGTGTTGGTGTGAGGGATTAGTGGATGTCATCATTATGACCTGACCTCATGTTTTAGGTCACCTATATTTAAGCCTCTCTCTGTCCATGTAATCCAGTTGCCTCTGAAGATGTCTTGAATAAAGACGAAAGCTAAGTATGTATATATATATATATATATATATATATATATATATATATATATATATATATATATATATATATATATATATATACATATATATATATATATATATATATATATATATATATATATACATATATATACATATATATATATATATATATCTCACAAGAGAAGTGTTTTCTTCTTTCCTTGTGGTTATCATATACATTACCTTTTTACTTGCATATATATATATATATATATATATATATATATATATATATATATATATATATATATATATATATATATATATATATATATATATATATATATATATATATATATATATATATATATACACACACATATATATATATATATATACAGTGACCCCTCGTTTAACGAACGCCTCGGTTAACGAAATTCGGTTGACGAACTGCCTTCCATAAGGATCTTCAATTCGGTTAACGAACAAAATTCGGTTAACGAATTTCTTACGAACCGACCTCAACGTGTTTTCGCTTGCACTGACCGGGCAACCAGCTTTAGTATCAGTCCGCCAATACATTAATCGGTTCTAGGGCTTAAATTCCTTACTGTTTTAGTAAATATCAAGAAGTTTATACTATTTAATAATTTTAAAAGTTTAATATTCAATTTTTTAGTCATTTTAACAATTATTGAACATAATTGAAGGTAAAGTGACTAGTTTAATGTGCGGCATCCAGCCTTTTAACACAGCAAACAGGCGTTAGTCTCTCTCTGTTTTCACTGGAGGTAACATCTTGCTTGACACTCTCTTCAACTAAATGCTTTTTTTCTGTGTTTCCAAGCAAATTATTGGTCATTTTGAAATATATTTTATATATTGACAATATATAATGCAGTGCAGTGTTGATTTAAAGAAAATAATCTTGAATTACACCAAGAGAGCTAAAATTTTATGGGTGAAATGGCGCCATGGGGTGACTTCTCTTCCAATCTCTAATGCCTTCTCTTCTTCCTTCTCCTCCACCCCCATTCTAAATCCCATCATCATCATCATCATCATCATCATCCAGGAGCCTTCTACATACAATAACTTCAAAAGCAAGTGAACTTTCACCATTTTTGCTGAATTCTAGGAAATTTTCAGAGCTGGAACCAATTACCCAAAAACCCATTGAAACAATGGTTTCCGGTTAACGAACTTTCGGTTAACGAACGACCTTCTGGAACGGGATTGAGTTGGTTAACCCGAGGGTCACTGTATACACACACATATATATATATATATATATATATATATATATATATATATATATACACATATATATATATATATATATATATATATATATATATATATATATATATATATATATATATATATATATATATATATATATATATATATACAATTCCACTTACTCTGACCTCTCTTACTGACCCCCCCCCCTCCTTTTGAGTGACAATTTCACACTCTTGGGATGCAGACAACATCTATACCCCAGCGCGAGACAAGTTTACACCGTCACGACTGTACAGGTAGTCGTTGCCTTAGAATGGTTGCCAGTTATCAATGAATGCCCAATGCTTGCACACTGTTTTTCCAGTCGGCATCTCATAGCAGTTGCCCTGGACAGCCATTCCCCACCATCTCCTCTTTTAGGCAAGACACCACATACTATCGGGATCCCTCCCCTATCTCTAACCTTCCCTAACGCCTCCCTATACTTCTTGAAAAGTTCCGCACTCCTAACCTTTCCTATGTCGTTACCCTCCTCCACTAAGACACACTACTGGCTTGGTACCCTCCCCTGACAAGGTCCTATCTATCCTCTCAGCTAAATGCCCTATACCTGCACCAGGAAAACACTCCCTAGTCCTACGCTTCCTATCTCTTGCACAAAAAGTCCAATCTAAGAACCGCGCCTGTCTGTCCCCAACTACCACGACCATACCACTGGGCAGAGTTTGAACAAATGCCCTTTTCTCTCTTTGCACCACACCGTCTTGCCTCTTCTCTTCTTCGTCCTGCCTCTCTTTTCCTCGTCCTGCCTCTTCTCTTCCTTGCCAGCTTCCTCCAACACTTAGTAGGGTTTACTGCACTCCACACTCTGGTCAGCTTTCCTGAGTCTGACCCTAGTCCCCTTGGAGACAACCTCTCTCCACGCTTGCTCCTGACTCTCCTTCGCAGGTGTCCTGCTAGGCAGGACACCTACCTGAAGGAGTTCAGTCCCGAGGGCTTCGTTCTCACCCTTTAGAGCGTTTAGCTCTCTCCTCAACTGCTCCAGCTGACTTAACAGAGTGGCCAGGGGGTCGTCTTTCTTCACACCGTCCCT